GCACATCTCTAAATTTCCAATAAGATCGTCATCTCCGACGACTTCAGCGACTACGACTTCGGCGACTACGATCCAATGTCGTCAGCGAATCCAACAACGTCTTCGGTGGCGACTACAATACGGAACAGGTATGCTTCTTTGGCTTCAACTACAGGTTCGTTTTTGAGTTCGATTTTGAACTATAACTTAGATTTTTAGGTTGTAATCTTTAGCTTAGGTTCATTTGTGAGTTCGATTTTTGATTTCTATATTTGTGAGTTCGATTTCTGAGTTGTATTTGTTTCGATCACAATTTGTTTGGTTGATAGGTTGATGTTGTTTGATAGTTGATATATTATTTTTATTTGTATTTGCTCCGATTTCTGATTTGTATTTGCTTCGATCAGTTTGATTTCTGATTTTATTTGCTTGAATAATGTTTTTTTTCTTTTTAACTTTCCAGAAAGCCTTCGTAAATACCCATATACCATTCATTTCAATTTTATAAAACATTTCAGGCACTCTGAGATAGATTTGAATTTTATAGTTCTTGATGTAATAATTGTTTATTGTAGATGTTCGTTATGGGTTTTTCTTCATAATCTTTATTTATATTATTTAATACTAGTGATTTTAGTTTTTGGATTTTAAGGTTTTGTTTGTTTTTTCTAAAAAACCACTTCAGACTGCTTATTGCTGCGCCACGTAGCACACGCACATCATTTGACCATTCGTAGTTGTTTGATTTTCAAAAGACTTCTGACTTAAGAACTACTTTGTGTGTGCTACGTGGTATAGCAGGAGGCCAACTGCTTCAAACTTTTTCACACCTTACTGTAACTTACTGCAACAGTCTGCAGACGTTAAAAAACAAACAGACTTTTTATTAAATGTTGCAGCCGTTTGGTCCACCTCTTTTGCTACAGAGGGTTGAAGAGGTGGTTTGCAGACTTCAGAAATTTTCATTTCAAAAAAAAAAAAAGAGCACCTAAGGTGATGTTTGTTTTTTCTGAGACAAAATGTCTGCAGTGTGCGGACCACATCTGTAGACCTCTGCAATAGAAGAGGTGAACCAAACGTCTGCAGTCTGAAAAAATAAGATTGTTTGTTTTTTTAACATCTGCAGGCTACTAAAATAAACTGAAATCTAAATAAATTGATTTTTTTAAACTTCAAAGTGATTTTTTAATATTTCTATGACTTTGTTATAATAATTAACGAATCTAGATCAACTTTTATATATTATTGTATAAAAATAAAAATGGTATGAAGTAAGGTATATATTTGATAAAAACCAACAACTTTGATTGCAAAGTTATAACTAAACATTATAATTAGTGATCAAAGAATTTGATACATAAATAGATGGAAATAAACTTCGATTTTTTCAATTAAATCCATTAAAAACGTACCATAAATATTTTCTCGAGAAATTGACGATAATGTATTAAATAATGTTTTATAAAATTTGGCAAAAAATAGGGAAAACTACAATAAAGTTCCTACATATTGGCCTCATAATCGATTTAGCCCTTATATATTATTTTTATTCAATTAAGTCCCAAATACCGATAATCATATTCAATTTAACCCTTTGACCCGGTCAACAGGTCATCCAACTTTCAAAAATTACATTTTCGGCCCAGATTTCAAAATTTGTTACAAATTTGGTCCAAAATTTACATTTTTTGGTCCAGATTTTAAATTTTTTTAAAAATTTGGTCCAAAATTTACACTTTTTGCCCAAATTTTAGAATTTTATTATGAATTCATTCTAACTTTAGTCTTTTTTACAACTTTTTTTTTCTCAAAAGTTTGTTTCTAATATGTTTTTTTCTTTAAAACTCATATTTGTACAAAAAAAAAAACATATTTTCACATAAAAATCTTATTTTTTCTATATAAAAACTTTTTTTAAAAACTTTTTTGTATATGAAATATCTAATTATAAAAATAGGTTTGGATTATTTGTGTGATTTCTCTTAAAAAATCAATTAAGAAATTAAAAGTAACCCTAAATTATACTATTAAATTATAGTTTGTCAAAAACTAGTTACACTAGTTACCCTAAATTAAAAGTAACCCTAAATTATACTATTAATATAGATATTTTAATATGTGTTTTATTTAGTGTGTATTCTTTTTTCTATGAGATTTTAATATAGTTGTTTATATGTATTTTTCAATCTGTTGCATCTTCGTAAATTAAATCATACCTTCGATCACATATATATGACAAAAGGTATGTAAAGTTGTTCTAATCTCATATATGACAATCCATATTGATTTCAGTAGGAGTTGTAACTATCAACGTTTGTAATACTTTTTTACATTTGTTAAATATCATTTTCTGCCAAAAACCTCCTTATCGACAAATGACAATTGCTCCATTCTAGATAGTTATTTTTTGTTATTACAACAAACAAAATTGACACATGAATCCGATTTTACAAAGAAGTTTAAATAAAGAAATCCAAAGTGATGATAAATTATAGGTATGAATATGTATTCAGCGAAAAACAAAAAATATGAAATTTTCAATATGTATCATCTTCTATTATTTAAACTTTTCCTATAAATGTGATTAAAGAACAAATAAATAATATTAAAATAAGTGTAACTAGTTTTTGACAAACTATAATTTAATAGTATAATTTAGGGTTACTTTTAATTTCTTAATTAATTTTTTAAGAGAAATCACACAAATAATCCAAACCTATTTTTATAATTAGATATTTCATATACAAAAAAGTTTTTTAAAAAAGTTTTTATATAGAAAAAATAAGATTTTTATGTGAAAATATGTTTTTTTGTATAAATATGAGTTTTAAAAAAAAAACATATTAGAAACATACTTTTGAGAAAAAAAGTTGTAAAGAAAACTAAAATTGGTATGAATTCATAATAAAAATCCTAAAATTTGGGCAAAAAGGGTAAATTTTGGACCAAATTTGTAAAAAAATTTAATATCTGGGCCAAAAGTGTAAATTTTGGACCAAAGTTTTAATAAATTTTGAAAATATATAAGGGTTAAATCGATTATGAGGCCAATATGTAGGGAATTTATTGCAGTTTTTCCAAAAAAATATAAGAATATATTATGATTTTTTTTCATATTTATATAAACAACTTCAACGACTATTATTGTAATAAATCTTTATTTATAAATTTGTCAAAAATATAATGTTTGTATCGTCGAATGTCTTTGGTCCACATCTGCATCAAGAAGAGGGCACGCATATATTTTTAGATCTGCAGTGTTTAAAAAAACAAACAGTCTGCGAAGGCTAATGTCTGAGCGTGGTCTGCACGGTGCAGACAGAAGAGGTCACATAGATCTGTAGACAAAAAATAAAGACTACCTGGACATGAAGTTAGCTGTGGGTGGAAATTTGCAATTAGAAAGCATGAGATTTTCGGGTATTTGAATATGTATATGAAATTTCGGATATATGCATGTGAACTAGGGATGAAAGTGGGTCCAAACCCGGACCGGATGGACCCGGACCCGGAACCGGTTAATGGGATTTTGTAGAACCGGAAACCGGACCGGTATATAGGAACCGGTTCCGATTCGGTTCCGGGTACGGTTCCGGGTAAAGTGGGTCTAGAACCGGAAAACCCGGAAACAATAAAGTGGGTAGGTTGGAACCGGATAAAGTGGGTTTAGAACCGGAAAACCCGAAAAAACCGGAATTTTTTGGTAATTACTTACTACTTAGCGGATTAAACTTTGAAAATTTTCATATTGATATCCCGACTTTGGGGGACTGTAACTCATTGAATAAGAAACTAAAATTAACAAAATTATAGTCTAAAATCATGTACAAACTCTAAAATACACTCTGGAAAAAACCGCATGTCAATCCGACTTTAAACGAATGAGATATGCATGTGTTAACATTTTCACATAATACAAATTACAAAAACAAATTGCTGAAAAGTTGAAAATTTTCAGTTTTGATATCCCGAATTTGGAGGACTGTAAATCATTGAATGTTAAACCAAAAATGACAAAATTAAAGTCTAAACTCATGTACAAACTGTAAACTACAAGTTTCAAAAAACCACATATCAATCCGACTTCAAACGAATTAGATATGCATGTTTTAAAACTTTCACCGAAAAACAAAAAACAAAAAAACTAAAAACTTCCAGTTTTGATATCTCGACTTTGGGGGACTGTAAGTCAATGAATATTAAACTAAAAATGGCAAATTTATAGTCTAAAAACATGTACAAACTCTAAACTACATGTTGGAAAAAACTGCATGTCAATCGGGGTTGAAACGAATGATATATGCATCTTTTAAACGTTTTACAAAAACCGGTTCCGGCCCTAAAAGTGGTTTCGGTTCCAAACACCGGTTCCGGTTTTTAGACCCGTTTTACCCAGACCCGATGGACCCAAACCCGGTTACCCGGAACCCGGATAAAGCCAATTTTTAAACCCGGAACCGGAACCGGTTTTATATATTCCGGTTCTAACGGTTCCGGTTCCGGTCCGGGTTTGTGGTTCTAAATCTCATCCCTAATGTGAACAACATAGTTACGATCGCCACATGTCACGTTCCTTGTGCAACACATGCTTAACAAAATATATAAAAGAAAAAAAGATATTCAAAAATGTCCAAATATTTTGCAAGCCAAAGGTTAATAACATATTTCTTTGGCATCATTTCAAAATTACTATTTCGTATTTCAATAGATATAGAATGTGTATTTCTAACATATTTCTTTGGCAACATTTCAAAATCACTATTTCGTATTTCAATAGATATAGAATGTGTATTTCTTTTTTTCAGTTTTATCAAATAATTTATAAAATTGTTCTTTACCCCTTTCCAAAAATATGTAATTTTATCGATTTTCAACCAAACGTCATCTTTTATGTCCTTCTAACTATCGTATCCAATTCATATTTTTCTATTTTCTTTAAAACTTTGTTAGATTTCAATAAAAAAAAAAACACATTTTTCTAAGCAAGTCTCTTTCTACTATAGGTATCGATGGTATAATGGCATAAACAAGGTAGTAACATCGCAAATGAAACTCATTTAGAGGTCCCAACATTACTTCTCTTCCTAGTGTTATATAAATACTTTCTAGGCACCTATGGTTGATGATTAAACCGTTTATTATTTATTAAATACTTATTACATAGCATTTGGTGTGTTCTTCAATGGCTGATGTGAAGCTAACACAAAAGAATAAGAGATAATGTCACTAAATACCAATCAAGTTTCATAATTGTTCCATTTTAGGTACCTCAAAACTTTTTTTTTCAAGAGGTTTGACCACTAAACTCTTTTTCAAGACTTTGTTTTTTGGTTGGCGTTCTGCTATCTTTGACTTTTTGTTCCAATATCTGACATCTGTTTTCAACATTGACCACCCATTCCTGAATGATAGAGTTGACTTCTTCTGGTACCTCATCATGGGGACAGTGTCCTGCATCTAACTCCTTGATTTCAATTTCTTTGAAGTGTTTTTTGACAAGATTTACTTTGGTTTTTGAATCAGAAATCGGGTCTTTCATCCCCTGAATAATCATGACTTTTTCCTCAAGTCCTTTGAGTACATAATTCATTGGAATTGAAGGATCAAATGTAAAAAGGCTTTCCAAAACCACCACTGCACCAGGGTCATATGACTATTCTTCATTAAGGAAATGCACAATTCACAACATTCACAAAAACTTAAAGTATAATATAAGTCCACAATTTGTCAGATAAAAAGTCACATAAAGAGTAAGTTACATTTTTGGTCCCTGAGTAGTGATTTGCAATTTTGATCCTTATTTGAGTTTTTTTGTAACATTTTTGGTCCATGTTCCAAGTCATTTATGTTATACTTTAAACTCTAAAAAAATATATAATATGGCCTTAAAGGATACTGCCCTTACCATCTCACTGAGAAGCCCTTCATCAGCACGATCCTTTTCTGCAAAAAAAAAAAAAAAAAAAAAAAAAACATAACATAATATGATAAATTTATATGGATACAAAAGGTTTCAAGAAAGTTACAGTTGGGTAGCAACTCCTCACTAAATTCCTAACACTCAACTTCAGGTAGCCTGAAATGCCCCTAGCACCTAACCATGCAATTCCTGAAGTTTTCCTTTCCTGAAAAGCAAAATAAACAAATATATTAATTCCACAAAAACCTCTAATTTTTATCTTAAAACAATTCATATATATATATTTACCTTAAAGGGAGGTACAGAAGAATATTCTGGAATGTAATGCCCAGCACTATTCAACAGGACCACAGACTTAGCTAAAGCAGGCCATAAACCAGCAACAATTGAAACAAAATAGCCTGTACACATGGCAATTAGAAAAGATTATCATTATAATTTATAGATTAAAAAAAAATTATAAAAGATTGAGAAAAAAAAAAAAAACCTCCAAATGAGTTCCCAACAAGATGAACTGGTTCCCGAATAACATCAACTATAAAATCTCTTATAAACTCAGCCCACAGAAGTTCAGTGTATATAACATTTGGTTTCTCTGATCTTCCAAATCCCAAAAGTGTAATGCCCCAAACACAGTTTCCATTTTCAGCTATATTCTTAATATTCTCACGATAATGCTCCAAAAAAGCACCAAAACCATGCACAAGAAGAATTGCAGGACCTTCACTTCCCACAACAGTATACTGAAAAGAAAAAACAAGAAAATCCCATGAGTGATTTGAAATCAAATTCTTTATAGAAAGTTTAAAGATTAGTTTTTTAAACTAGCCTGTATTAGATAACCATTCCACTTCCAGTATCGAATAGAATATCTTTTAGTTGAATCAAGTTGACTTCTTGATGCCAAAAGACTATACCACTGCCAAAAAAAAAAAAGTCACAGATTTGGATTAAGATTCATCAAGATAGAGGGCAATAGTGGAAAAAGCACACCTCTGTTGAGAGAACATGCCCAGCTGCTGCAGCAATGGTGGCAGTTGAGTACCCAAAGGGTGACAGAAATCCACCATTTCTGTCTTTTTCATATTTTAGAGTCTCATAATACACTCTTCTTCTAGAAACTATTCCAAGCTGAAGGACAGGTCCAAAAAGAGTACCAAATGAAGATCCTTCACGTGTTTCAGCCTTGCGTAATTTGTCATGCACCCTGCAATAATATATATATTAAAAAAACCAGTTATTTAAATTCTAAAATTACATAAAGATCCAGGCATAGAATGATACATACTCCTGCCAATCATCGCGTGTAGTACCCTCTAAATATTTTAGATATGCTGACAATGCATTAAGCACATCATTTGTTCCACCTCCAATAGCATTTCCTTGTTGTGTTATGAATGCTGACTTTTTCAATCTTTTTTTGTTAGTTTTAGTAAGGGGCATCAAATTGGTTTGACTAGTCAGACCATTTGATGCAAGAATCCTAGCATTCTGCATTACGTATTCGGCTGAATTGCTCTTGATGGAAGTCCAGCTATCTTTTGATTTGTATGGATTCTCATCTATGAATTCCTTCAAATCATTCAGTGTTGGTAGAGCACCTGGATCATGGAGCAAATACAATTTCTATATCAAAACAAAACATTAAATACAGTTACTTTCTCATATAGGAACCATATTACTTAATACTTACCCCAGGCTAAATCTGTTGATATAGCAGGTAACTTTGGGGATGAAAGAGGTGAATGTATGGAAAATTTTAATTGTTGAAACTCATCATATGACAATGGGATGTCCATAATGTTCTGGAAAGATTTAGATTACATCAGCATAATCCAAAAGGCAAAGTTTGAAAACTAGTACTGATGAAGTGAAAGATATACCTTGATATCATAAAAGGGGGTATTCCATAGAGATATTTTAGGGCTCTTTATGTCTCCCAAGTTTTCTTTAACCTTCTCAATTACCAACTGTAAGTCATATTCCACCTCTTCTTGTGTGTAAATGTTTGCAGCTCTGACCTGTTTCAACCCTAGGTGATGAATTAATTATGAGTGGTTGGGTAATGAAAGCTGCCCCTTTTCTTGTCCAATCTTAAAAATTCTTAGCAAGCAAACCTTAAGGTAACAACCTCTTTTACAAGATCTTGGATTACAGATTCTGTCCTCCCGAACCTGATCATCAGATCAGATCCCTGATCCTTCAATGACTTTCTCAGATCTTTCACAGCAAAGAGGAGCAGCTCAAGCTTTTCCTCAGTAAAGCCTGCAGTTGGTAAAACGAGAACCAATGCATCAAAATATTGGGTATAATACTATCATACAGTATATGCACCATTTTGATTGCTACAACGATCAAAATTTTCTCCAAAAGTTCGTATCGTTGAACTGGAACTTCAAATATTAAATTGCATCACTATTCTTCAATGCGAGGATTAGTGATAGTGTATGAAACGCGAAGAATCGGTTTGAGAAAGCTTACTCTAATTGCGGAAGTAATAGTAAAGTAGTTAAAGGCACTCACAGCGAAGAATCCGGTGATCGAAGACATACAGAGGAACAACCACCGTATGCTTCGAGGCAGCAATTAAACCTGGATGATCATCGACACGAAGATCATTCTTGTACCAAAGAACTGCAGCGCCGGTGCTTTTTCCGCCATTGGAACTTGTTATTGCCTTAGAAGTGGGCAGTTTAACGGTGGCCGAAGAAGAACACCGGACGGGAGTTAGTGGAGCTGATTGACGACGATTTTGCAAGAACAAGGCGGTTGGAATGCAGGGGTACACAAGAGTCGCCATGGAGATAGAACTGGGTTTCCATCAATGGATATTGCAGATTAACATGATAAAATATCTAGGGCTCCCATGGAGTTCTGTCCAAAAGGATAGTAGTTAGACTGGTCACTTGAAAGTAAAAGAATAGTGAACTAACTTCATGTGTAAAAAATAATTTGGAAAGATTCGAACCCGTATCTTACATCCATCATCCACTATAAGCCAGGAATTTGTTAGATTTAGTTACGTAGATATACTTTCCTATTTTACTGTAACTCTTGATTTTATAATGAATCATCATCCAGAATTCGTAGTGATTTTTATCATATAAAATATGGTATCCGCCTAAAAGACCCCTCGCCTTCCTCTAGCCGTTGTTAATCTCTTTTCACCTTCCTTATAGCCATTGTTAGTCTCTTTCCACTCCCCTTGATATGCAAACGATTAAAAACTCTTCATCTGACTATCTCATTCTCATAGATGGAAACGAATCCTTCCACTTCTCTCGTATCAAAAAATTGGTTACGTTGATGACACCATATTGCCACGCCATAAACCTTAACATGTGTTATTCCATCCAAATTTCTTTACACTTTTAAAACATCCTCATTTTATCCAACCGCAGAAAACTTTAAATTTCACGACACAATGTTTTCATTAAAATAATTAAAATTGTGAAATATGATGTTAAAAATGGATGGTTATGTTATAATTTTTTTTTTTTTTTGAAAACGTAGTCATTTAGCTTTTATTCTTTTACCTTTTCCGATGGTTTATGTGGGATTAATTTTAAAACATCCCGCAATAAATTTTTCCATTTTTAATCAAGATAAAATACTATTTTCATAAAACCCAAGTCAATAAAAATCATTTGTTACAAAATACAATCATCCAAAAATCAAAATATCATAACAAACGCGGAATCACATAATACTAAATATGTTGATGAGTGTATGAAGTCAAGTCTTCGTCTTTTCGCGCTCATCTAAAATATCTGAAATATTTAATCCACAACTGTAAATCAAAATGTAGTTATTTCCACAAAATACTATACACAACAATATACATACAATGCATACAAGTAATGACATTCGGCACAAAGCTAATCCGGTCCTTTATCCTTCAAATAAAGTCGGTCCGCCTTGAGTGTTTTTACCTTTAGCACAAGGTTAGACCGTCTTCAACTTGCCCATAATATGTCGACATATATAAATACACAAATAGGCGGTGTAGTATAAACATAGTGAAAAAACTCACCTCACAAATAGACCGGGTAACCACCACGACACACAAACAATAACAGACTGGTCTTACACACCACCTAGATATTAAATAAAAAGGGGTCAACCTCAACTATAACCTAAAACCCTAAAGTGCGATCTAAGGTTAAACTTAGTAAAAAAGTCAACAGGTCAACATGTTGGTTAATGGATGCGCCACACCTTCTTCTAGGCGTCCCACATCCACAAAAGGACAAAATAGTTGGAATCTTAGGCTAAAACAAACACGTATGAGAAAAGCCTAAAAAGCGTATCATGTCCAGACCTTCTTCACAAGGTGAAAAGACTTAATCCATTAAGTTAAGATCCCATACTTCCAGATCTGGTTCCTAGCATGGTCTTAATGAATAAAGTTTCCAACTTTACTCATTAAGACACTACAATGAAGCAATATCTAAACTTTATGCACTTAAATGACATAAAAGCCAAAATAATTTACATGGCTTAGAGGACATGCACAAAACACCAACTTTCCAAGTCCAAAAGGTCCATAGAACAATCCTAAGTGCTCAAAAGAAGTCGGAGTCATCTTAACTCCAAGCTCACTACCAAAAAGGGACCAGAAGTGCATAAAAAATGACAATAAGCAAGATCTAGTAAACTAAGAGAAAAGCTTGAAGCTTTATAACTCACAAAGGTCCCAGAAAGGTGCATCCTTATTGGATCTACACTTTCTCTTCACTTTAATGTACCAAAGGAAATCTTGATCTTCAAGCTTCAAGCACAAACAAAGGGAAGATAAGGTCTCAAGGCGAAACTATTGGATTAAGGTGTTTAAGCTCATTACTAAATTAATATAAACTTAAAATAATAGAAGCAAAGTCCTTTTGGGTTACCCTCGTAACCAAAATAGCTAGAAATGGTATTAGGAGAGAGAGAGAGAGTGAGAGATGGAGAGAGAAAGAAAGATAAAGAGAAAGAAAGAGAACGAGTGAGAGAGAGAAAGAGAGAATGTTTTGTTGGGAATAAATAATTGATATGTTAATTTGTTATGTGATTAATAAATTAACATGAGATAAATAGTTAAATAATTGATTTGTTAATTTATATGGTTAATAAATTAATAAGAAATCAATTAGAATTAATTAATTATTAATAAGAATTAATATGGAATTAATTTCAAATTAATTGGAATTAATTAAAGGTGCAAGGGGGTGAATTGTAATTGTTCAATAGTTAAACAAAGAAATCAATTCTAGAAACCTCCATGGCATGGACAGGTTTGGAGGCTCCTCTAGGGCTTCTGGAAACCTCATGGTTACATAAAAAAGAAATTATTTGAATTAGAATTAAATCAATTATTTTAATCAATTCAAATATTGTTTTGCCTGCAAGTTACTTAAACTATAAATAGGACCCCAAGACCATCAATTTTCGTTCATGACATCCCTAAGAGTATTAGGAACGGAATTTCCTTCTTCTTCTCTCTCTCTCTCTCTCTCTCTTTCTCTCTCTCTCTCTCCTTTTCATTATAGGGTTTATAGGGTTTTGAGTGTGATCAAAGGCACGAGATTTCTGGTGCTTGCTTTATAGAGCTTGTTCAAGAATGATTTTATTGATTATTTACAACAATAATCAAAATGTATGTAAACTCTAATCCCTTTATGAATTTCGATAATAATAAAGTATTCATAGGGTTCTTGATGTTCAATTGTTTGTTACAATCAATAGAGAAAAAATTAAATCCAATAGGTTGCATGTGAACTTAGGGTTAAGTTTTTCCGACACATTATTTTTATGATCTATAAAACCTATCAGAAACTAGGGTCAAAATGAGAGAAAATGGGAACTAAGGTTTCTAGTGACTCTCTTTAGGGACGTTAGAGGCTGCAAATTATCCAAAACTAGAGAGTTAAAGGTTTTTAAATAGCCCCAAAACCCTAAAAAACGTTCAACCCATAGGTCAGGCACGTCGCGCCCTTAAGAGACGTGTCGGGTCCAACCTGATTGATTCCAAATTATTTGATTTTCAGATTCTTTTCAAATTAAGAAGAATAAAGCCAGAATAAATTACATATCAGGAATAAGGATGTTACAATGTCATAGATAAAAATCAAAATAAAAACGACTTAAACGAAAAAAGAAGACAGGTTAACACTATACGTCACAACGTCAGATACATTAAATACATCCACGATATAGAGCTCTTGAGAACTATAAATGTGGCATTTATACATATCCTAAACAAGAATGTCATACAAAAAAGCAAAATACAAGCAACTCAAACATAAAGAAGACAAGTCAATACTTGAAAGAACACCCATCAAATACTTTCCTAGCCTAAGACAGTCTCACTCACCTTTTAAGATCACGTGTCATGGACACAACAATGAGAATCATAAAATAAAAAAAAAAAAAAATAAAAAAAAATAAAAAACTCAAACCTGGATTTAGACATAGACAGTTGACTAACTAAAACAATGTTTTAATAAATTTTGGGAATATAAAATATTATAAGGCTTTTAAAAGAAGAAACAACATAATCAACACCCTCTAATGACATAATGTACCAATGACAGTCATAATAGATACAAAAAAACCAACAAGATAATGAGACAAATAATGAAAATTAAGGTGACATATGGCATTAAGCACCTACATCTAAGATCCATAAGGAGGAAGGTGTATTTGAAATAGTAGAAGACGAATCTATATGTGAGGTCGATGACATGACAAGGGACTGGACAACAAGGAACGATTTATGCTAAGAAAAACATAAGGATCCAAAACAAATGATGACATGGTGGTGGTTTGGTGTAACATCCGGAATCCCAGGTATATTATTCTAATATTTTATTTTTGGAATTTGTGAAGGAACTCGGCGAGTTGATGCTTAGACTCGTCGAGTAGGGTCGCGGTTTATCTTCCGGTTTCGCGTTGGACTCGGCGAGTCCACGATGTTTAATGAAACCCTAATCCTCCGGGGTTGGAGCCTATTTAAGGGCACTCTTAGCCTTCCATTGTGGCTACCAGTCCCTCGAGAGCACCCTAAGTGAGCTAGATCGTTTGGTAGGAAGGAGAAGCCATATTTGATCTTTCTATCTTTGGTTTAGCAAGAAGAAGGTGATCAAGAGAAAGAGGAGATTGAAGGAGGTGTGATTCAAGTGGTTTCAGAGTCCAGAGACTTCAACTTGAGGTATTTATTCGGACCTTCTTCAGTTTTGGTATTGAAACTTAGAGTTAGGGTTTTATAACCTCTTTTGAGGATGTTTATGTGGAGCAATTGGTCCCTAATTGAGTTTATGCTTTGGATATGGACTCAAAGAGGTCTAGAGACCTTAACCCTTGGAGCTTTATGGGTTACCTTGGAAATTATGAGCTTAGGATGCCATTTTTAGGGCTAAATAACAAAATATATCATCTAGATGATATACAAGTGTCAAGGTCTGGACTTTACGTGATTATTACGCTTGGGAAAGGCTGATCTATGGATTAGAGGAACAGATCTGACCTCAGGAGGTCTATGGAGCTTTTGCATGGCATGTACTCTGTAACGCCCGGGTTTCAAGGATAAGCATTTTTGTCAATGTAATAGTCTAGGTCAAATCTTGTAACTCTTTTTGAAGTAATAACGATGAAATAGTTGAGTATTATGTGAATTATGTGTGTTTATGTGTTTATTATTTAATTATAAATGTATAATTAATAAAGAATAAAAATGAGCGTCAAAAATTAAAGTGTGAGATAATCCCGATATCTCTACATAAAGTTGTAGAATATGTCTCAAGGTTTCCGTACATATAAAGAACGTCGAAATCCGAGTTATAACGAAGAAGTTATGACCCGTCAAAGTTTCGCAATAGAACCGGCACGATACCGGGAAGCGTGAATAGTGAATTTACGATAGAGCGAGATTTAGCCTTAGCGATCTAAACAAAAGTCGTAGAATATGTTAAACTAAGAACATCGATAAAAAGAACGCCCAAATCTGACTTCGTATGAAGAAGTTATGAGATTTTAAACAGACCAATCATGTCCCGGCCTGTTAAAAATATAACTTTAAAAATAAAGTCAAAATTAGCCGACGGAGTCTAAACGAAAGTTGTAGAGTACGTCTCCACCTACGCGTGGATATAAAGAACGTCAAAAACGGAGTTCGTATGAACGAGTTACAAATTATAATAGCATATTTACGTATTAAAATAAAGTATAAATCATGTATACGTACACATATATATACATATGTATATATCATTAGAAAGGTATCGACGATGCGGTCATTATAAGACTAATGTTGAGTTCTTTCGACATTAGTTTAGTACAAATATCATTAAATCCATTTAAAATAGTAT